ATGCCTTAAAAAAGGAAACAAATGTGAAATGAATAGGCTGGCAGATACCGTCAAAAGGACTGGAGTGGGGATAGGTGACATGAGACATCACCAACACAAATGACTCTGTCAAGGATGCAAGGATGCAGTTTTTAACTGGCCTTACCACCACTTTCATAGGTCAACCTGGAAACAAACAAGAAGTGGTACAGATTTTAAGAATTAAATTCTGTTTCACAAGAAAGAATGGTTAGTGGCAGTGAAAGAGCAAAAACTTTCTCCCAAGATATCAATATCCTCCTAAAGTTCTTACTGGAAAGAGGGAATCCTAAACAGGGAAAGATTTCACAAATTTCTGAGTGAAAAGAGGTAAGAGTCCATACCCAGAGTTCAAACAAATGATCTAAAAGGGGGTGGGAAACTCAATATAATGACTATTGACAATATATACTGACAACACACAGCGAAAAGCAAACCCTTTAATGAATAGTAACATGAGCTGCCACTGGGGTGGGGGAAACACGAGGGGAAGGTACAGAAGCAGGTAGGGGCTAGGTCAAGCAGAGTCTTCTGGGTCAGGCTTATATTTTAGCGCAACAGTAACCATTTCATGCAATGAAACTTTATATTAAAAAAATACCTTGAGGCAACAAAAATGGAAAGATAATACACCAAAACTGATGAGATGCAGCAAAAGTAGTTCCAAGAGGAAATTTTATAGCTATAAATGCATACATCAAGAATAAAGAAATACCTCAAATAAACAACCTAATATTACACCTCAAAAAAGTAGAAAAGTAAGAACTAAGCCTAACCTTAGCAGAAGATACAGTTTTTTAAGGAAACAATAAAGATTAGAGCATAAATAAATGAAATAGAAAACAGGAAAGCAACAGAAAATTGAGTTGGTTCTTCAAAAAAAAAAAACCAAACTGGCAAGCCTTTATCTAGACTAACCAAGGAAAAAAAGAGAGTTCAAGTAAATAAAATTACAAATGAAAGATGTATCAACAGATACCACAAAAATAAAGGATCATGAGAGACTACTCCAGACAGTCATATGCCAACAAATTAAACAACCTAGAAGAAATGGATAAGTCTCTAGAATCATGACTAGAAAATCTGAAGAGACCAATTACTATTAGGGAGAGTGATCAAAAACCCCAAAATAAAAACACCAGAACTGTCTCAAACTCGTGTAAAACAAAGAAGAGGAAACACTTCCAAACTCATTTTAACAGGCCAACATTACCCTGATACCAAAGCCAGACAAGGACACTACAAGAAAAGAAAACTACAGGCCAATATCCTTGATGAATATAAATGTCAAATTTTCAGTAAAATACTAGCAAACTGAATTCAACAGGTTCATACACAATGATCAAGTGGGCTTTGTCCTTGGAACACAAGGATGATCCAACATATGCAAATCAATAAACATAATACATCACAGTTGATAACATGTATCACATCTGAATAGAATAAAAGGTTAAGATCATATGATCATCTCAACAGATCTGGAAAAAGCATGTGACATGCAGGAGAATGAAACTGACAAAACTTAATTACCACTCACAAAAATTAACTCAAACTGGAATTGAAAACTTAAGTGCAAGACCTGTAACTGTGAAACTTCTAAAAGGAAACAAAGAAGAAAACTCTTATTAAACACTGGTCTCGGCAGTGATTTTTTGGATACGACACGCAAAGCACAAACAACATAAGCAAAAATACACAAATGGGATTACATCAGACTGAAAAGCTTCTGCACAGCAAAAGAAATGATGAACAAAATGGAAGGCAACCTACTAAACAGGAGAAAATATGTGTAGATAATATGACCAATGAGGGGTTAATATCCAAGATACATAAACGGTTCATACAACTCAATCCCTCAAAAAACCCAAATAATCTGATTAAAAAGTGAGTAGAAGACCTGAATAGGCATTTTTCCAAAGAAGACATACAGAGGGTCAACAGGCATATGAAAAGATGCTCAACACCATCAATCACCAGAGAAATTCAAATCAAAACCACAATGAGGTATCACCTCACACGTATCAGAATGGCTAATATATATATATATATATATATATATATATATATATATATAAAACAAGCACATACACACAAAACATAAGTGCTAGAGAGGATATGGAGAAAACTGAATCCTTGTGCCACTATTGGTGGGAATGTAAACTGGTACAACCACTATGGAAAACAGCATGGAGGTTCCTAAAAAATTAAAAAAAAAAAAAAACAGAACTACCATATGATTCAGCAAAACCACTTCTGGGTATATATCCAAAGTAAATAAAATTACTAGGTTGAAGAGATATCTTCACTCCCATGTTCCTTGAAGCATTATTTACAAGTCAAGACATGGAAACAAAGTAAGTGTCTGTCTATGGATGAATGTATAAAGAAAATGTGTTGTATATATACAATTGAATATTGTTCAGCTAAACAACAAGGAAGGAAATCCTGCGCCTTGTGACAACATGGATGAACTGTGAAGGCATTATACTCACTGAAGTCAGACAGAGAAAGACAAATACTGTGTGATCTTGCTTATACATGGAATCTTTAAAAAAAAAAAAACCTCATAGAATCAAAGAGTAGATTGCTGGTTTGGGGGAAAAGGGGGAAATGAAGACATGTGGTCAAAAGGTACACAATTTCAGTTATGAGATGAAGTGCTATGAATTTAATGTACAGCATAGGGTCTAGCATTAACACTGTATTGTATTCTTACAAGTTGCTAAGAGAGTAGATCTTAAAAGTTCTCACCACATAGACACAAAAGAAGGTAACTAAAAAAAAAAAAATTAAACAGGCCAAGGCTTTGATCCAGTTTTTGGTTTTACAGATCATTCTGGTGTCATTCTGCAGGCTAGCATAAGGGGAAAAGAGACCTGTTAGATATTGCTACAGTCCTCAAAGGAAAAAAGGATCAGTGGCTTGCTCTAACTAGAGTCTCCAGGTGGACACAAAGAAAAGGAAGAAAGAGCTTGGCATGAGATATATTTTAGAGGTAGGGCTGACAGAAAATGGAATTCATGTGGAAGATACAGGAGAAGAAAATACCAAGGGTGACTCTTAATCTCTAGCTTGAGAAACGAGGTTGACAGGTGGTCCCATTTATTGAGATCAGGAAGTCTGGGCAGGAGGGTAAAATCAAGAGTTCAGTCTGGGGCATGCTTAGTCTGAGATGTCTCTTAGAGACTCACTTAGACATGACAAGCAGGTACTGGATGTGTAAGCTGGAAGACCAGGCAAGAGGAACTGCCTGGAGTTCACAGTTTAGGAGGCAAGCACATAATCTGAGACTCACTGTGACTCTCTTTTAATTGATAATACAGATGACTTCAAATAATTAAGCAACTGTCCTCCAGAAGAGCAAGTCGACTTATTTGGTAAGAAGGTTCCAAACTACTGAGTAAAGAGGAACACATAGAGGCAGAATTCATCTCTAGGTAAGGAAGAACTTTGTTAGCCAAACCTCTGTGACAAAGTCCAAAGGCCACGGCACAGAACGGTGAGCCTTCTATCAGATTCCGCTGTCCCTGGGAGGACCCTACAATAGATGGTCTATATAAGACTATGCTCTCTGTTACCTTAGATTCTCACATGCTGGACTTTCCCCCCTCATTTCTGTCCACCCAGAGCCTAGAACCTGCACAACCAAAGGAAACAGTGCACTGTGTGTTCAAAGGCTCTAGGAAGGGAGCTGGATACACTGATCTAGTCGTTCTTTCTTCAGCTACTCTAGGGAATAGGGAAGAGGCACTCCTCATGAAAGTGGAGTAGAAATAGATACTTCAGGGCAGGTCAGGGGAAACAGAAATAGATATTTCAAGGCACAGATCTAACTAAGGGCTGATGAACAGGATGGATGCAGTCAGATGACTGAAACATCCACAGGGGATTTTCTTCTTTTGATCATCAGGAAATCAAAGTTATTAATCTGATAGCTAATTAGCCAAGCAAAGTGGAAACATTTAAATCCCACTCTGGCAAACAAGTAAAAATCACTAATTAAAAGAGTCTTATCTATAAAACAAGAACATCTTAGAGATGAAACAGTCATGAAAATATCATCCTCCTCTTTCATGGACTCATCAGTTCAGTCGAAAACCCACTGACAAAAGCAGTCCTAACCTGTCCAAGTTTGACTGACTCAAGACAGCACAGTTCTTCTGAACCTTTTCCAGGTAGCTGGGCACCACCTGTAAAAGCACATTCTCACTCAAAACCATCAATCACACAAATAGTTTTTATTAAAAGCACGAGAAACAAAGCATAATCCCTCCATTTGAGGGGTTGTTTTATGGGTAGGTTGCCAGCCTGTCTAAAAATATATACAGAAATCTAAATTCTTCAGGCTTCAGAGGAAGACTTCTCTTTTTTCAAATAGTTTTTTAATATTTACTATTATAATTTTTTATTTGACTCCACTGGGTCTTAGTTGCGCCATACAGGATCTTTAGTTGTGGCATGTGGGATCAAGTTCCCTGACCAGGGAGCGAACCTGGGCCTCCTGCATTGGAAGCTTAGAGTCTTAGCCACTGGGGCACCAGGGAAGACCCAGAGGAAGACTTCTCTGGAGTGAAATCCAGCATTTCTCGGGGCCTTCCCTCACATTTAAGCAGAGGTAGGCTTCTGGTTGTGGTCTCCCTAAACTCAAATAATTATTCCTTAGGGAAGAGGTAAGACTTCACGGCTTTTGTTGTCTTGGAGGAAAGCTCAAAGACCCTGAAGTATTCAGGAACTGTACTAGAGGTCTAGAAGCCAGGAATTGACTCCCGCATTGGCTGGAACCCCTTTTGATAGGTGCCCGTTCCTTCACGTGAGAGATGAGGCCAAGCTCTTCCTGGAAAACATTCCAGGATCCTAACAACTCTGCCTTCCCACAAAGAAGCTCTGTAAGCTTCATGCTAATGAGCCCACTTTGCTGACATCATCCTGTCCGTGGTTCACCTTCTTAGAGGAGAAAGTAACTTGTCTGGTGGTGACCTTACCTGTTTTTCCTGCTCCGCTTTCCCCAGTAATCAGAATACACTGATCTTTATCTTGATCTCTTAGGGATCTGTATGCTTCATCTGACAGGGCAAAGCTGTAGGGGATAATGGAAAAAAAAAGAAAAAGTCCTTACAATTCAGCTCATTATTATTCGTTTACCAGATATAACAGGCTCTTTAAGTGCCACTGATATGTTTCAGATAGAAAGCAGAAACACCACATTGTTCTTCTTCAAATTCTTCAAGTAAATAAATAAAGTTATTTATTCTTTGTGGCCCAAGTTATCTTCTCCTATGCATTCCCTATTAACTAAAATGGTATTGATATACTGTACACCATAAAGATATGCTTTATTTAACTCAGATGCTATATTTACAGCTTACTTTATTAGAATCCGGGCAACTAAGAGAACCAAGAAAAAAATTTACATCACATGTCCACAACTGGATAATGTTGCTATTTCCAGGATGATACACTGGAGTTTCAAAACACTGAGAAAAAAGGTTTTCAAACGTTACAAAATGTTATCAAATACTAAATAGCTGATACTACCATCACAAAACTGAAAACAGAACTACCACCTTCACAAACAAGATGGTAAAAACTATAAGATCCACCAGTGGCAGGTGGTCCTGTAGGTTTGCCATGGTTTTTGTCCAGTCTTGGGCTCCATGGTGACAAAGGGCCCTCTATCAAGTAAGCTCTCATGTCGACCTTCCCTTCCTCAAAATCAACTAACAAGGTAAATTTTGACTTCCTCTAGCTAACTGAAAAATAATTTTGACAATATGATGCTGTCTTAAAATAGGTAAAGCTCCTCTTCTAATTCATTTATTTTGAGTCTACCTAACGTGAAGAATCGGAGAAGGCAGTGGCACCTCACTCCAGGACTCTTGCCTGGAAGATCCCACGGACAGAGGAGCCTGGTAGGCTGCAGTCCATGGGGTCGCTAAGAGTCGGATACAACTGAGCTACTTCACTTTCACTTTTCACTTTCATGCATTGGAGAAGGAAATGGCAACCCACTCCAATGTTCGTGCCTGGAGAATCCCAGGGACGGGGTCGCCTGGTGGGCTGCTGTCTGCAGGGTTGCACAGAGTTGGACACGACTGCAGCGACTTAGCAGCAGCAGAAGCAGCAGCAATGTGAAGAAAACGCTAGAAATGCAAAGATAATTAAGATTCAGCCCTTCTTTGATGAGTTCTCAGCCAAAAGTAGGGGAGAGATACAAATAGAGAATAGATAAGTGCAAGGAAAAAGAACCACACAGGGCCCTCAGTAGGGTGAGGACTGGAGCTGGAGTATTTTAAGAGGTGGAAAAAACAATCCTAAAGAATTAATCAGCAAGACAAAGGGCTTTGAGGTAAAAACAAAGGCCAAAATAACCTAGAGGTAGGCTAAGGTGTATGAGCAGTTGCATGCTGCTGAAAGGCAAGGCCTGAGGACAAATGCACTAGAGATGAAGTGAAGTTGCTCAGTCGTGTCCCATGGACTGTAGCCTACCAGGCTCTTCCGTCCATGGAATTTTCCAGGCAAGAGTACTAGAGTGGGTTGCCATTTCCTTCTCCAGGGGATCTTCCCAACCCAGAGATTGAACTCAGGTTTCCCGCATCACAGGCAAACACTTTACCGTCTGAAGCACCAGGGAAGCCCAGAGAGATGAGCACACCCTAAATCAGGAGAATGGAGCCACGCAGCGGGACTGTAAGCAGAGGAGGGGCAGGACCAGATAGTAACCAGAGGGTAACTGGAGCTAAAACAGCAACACTTACTCTGCACCAGCATGGGCCCCAGGCCCTTCGTATTTAAGGATTATAAGTCTCACAATGAAACTACGAGGAATATATTATTTATTAGATGATATAATATTTTCAGATGATAAAATCATGGCACAAAGTGAAGACAGAACTTGTCAAGGTCACACTGGCAGTATGACGCAGTGGAGCCCAAATTGAGCCCTGCTCTTGACCACTGGGACACACCACCTCTGTGTTCTGGACAGATCGCAGGGTCATAAGAGTACACGAAGAGAGATCCATCTGGAGGCAAGGAGCCCGGTGAAAGGCTGGGACACTTGGAAGGGCGTCAGTTCAGCCTTTCAATCACAGACTTCGGCTTTTCTTCAGAAAGTGTGTGCCGTCATTAATATTGACAATGCACTGAGCACCTTCAATCTGCCAGGAGCTGAATCTTATGTGAACAATGTACACTGATCTCTTTCCATCCGGCAGCCCTCCCTCCCTCACCCTCAAACCCCTTTAGCCATCCCCTGAATAAGCAGTGCCCTGCTCACCCCCAAGGATGCTCAGTGGCGTCATCGTCGTCCAGTGTTCCCTGATTTCCCAAGTGATAAGCAATCAAGCCCCTCTGTGTGATTGCATACTGTTGTTGTTTAATTACAAAGTTGTGTCCAACTCTCTGTGACCCCATGCACTGTAGCCTGCCAGGCTCCTCTGTCCAGGGGATTTCCAAGGCAAGAATACTGCAGTGGGTAGCCATTCCCTTCTCCAGGGGATCTTCCCAAGCCAGGGATGGAACCCTCATCTCCTGCATTGGCAGGCAGATTCTTTACCACTGAGCCACCTGGGAAGCCCCACTGCATCGTGGGACAGTGGAAAAAACAGTGAATCTGGAGGCAGAGGGCATGCCGGATGGACAGGATTCTCTGGGCCCCAGAACTGCAACTTACCACCTACAGGACCTGGAGCAAGTCACTCACCCTGGCTGAACTTTGGTTTCTCCAGGTACAAAATAAAGAAATGTAGCCCTGTACTTTAGCTCAGAAAATTAAATCAAACTGTATGAAAGCACCTTAAAAGTGACTAAGTCCTCAATAAATGTCTAATGTCTTTCTGTATTATAATTAGTTATGCAGACATCTTCTTATCCCTTACCAGAGTGCAAGCTCCTGGGGGCACAGCCTTTCTGTGTAATTAATTTTCGTGCATTCCACAGAGCTATAAACATAAGACATTGTCTATACCAAAATATGAACGAATAAATGAGTGGACCTTCAAGTTTTGACAAAGCCCCTAATGGACTGAGCTCCATGAAGCAGGAAACTCATATCTCCTATCGCCTTCAGACAGGGAAGGAAAGCTTTACTTGGATTTCTTATTAGCCTCCTCCTCCCTCCCATCCCTCCCACTTCCAGACAATAGTTCAGCAAAGCCAGTGTCTTGTTCACCACTGGCAAGAAGTGCAGGAAAGCACGTTACGCCAAATACAAATGAACTCTTCCAATCGTATATTGATATATCCGCTGACCTCTTCATGGATTAACTAACACAGGCCTTTCCCCAGGCTCCCAGTACTGCAAGTTAGGTTTATATATTATACCATCATTAGATCCCAAATGATACAAAATTACTTCTAACATGATTAACCATATGTGATTGTGACTGTACACATATATGCATGTATACACACACAAACACGGGCTCAGAAGATCACCAAATGACCCTGACATGGGTTTATTTCCCGTCAAAACACCCAGGTGGAACACAGTTTTCTCTTGTCTATCTAGACAGAATCATTAACTGCTGGCCCCCAACCTGGGCTTGACGCGTCTAGTGGGGAGTATATTTTAAGATAAAGGCTAAAAGGGATGGTTATTCTGTCAGGTTTCTGAAGAGTCAATAATTTCAAACTGTCATGAAAATTTACCAATTAAAGTACTCACACATTGGGAAAACTGGCCCGGAATACGAGTACATCCACTTCAAGCAGAGTATAATGCCATCTTACTTATTTCACATAAACACAAGATCTTGACTTCACTTAAAAAAATAATACAGGGGCCAGGACGCCAGCTCCCCTCCCGACCTTACTCTCTTTCTCTCTGGCGATGTTCATTCTTATTCCCTTTCTCTCTGGCAACTTTAGCACGTACCCATCACCACAGCCAACATTTGTAACTAAAATGAAACCACATGCCAGTCTTCCCAACCACTCTATAATTAAGGAACCTAAATAAATCTTTAGAGCAGTTTTTACTTAAAAACAGTTGTGACCCATATGCTTCACATTATTTTGTGAGCATGTCAGCACTGTGATTTACCACACACAAAAATGAATGGTTTACTGCACTGTAATGATGATAACTTAAGGGGCAAACATGGTCTTCATCGCACCACATCAAGAGCAGGGCTTCATCTATTTCTTCTGTCCTCTACTTGAGCTCCAAGAATAGCGACAGCCTGACGTTTGAATGCAAGTCCCCCCTTCATTTCCAGATCAGCTAAACGGCTGTTCACTGAGGGTCAACCTTCCACCAATATCAAGCACGTTGCTGCACATTTGCAAACAGTTGTATCTATCATTTATAGGTTTTGGAAGCTAGATTTGGGGCTCATATGTCATTCCCTGTCAGAGCAGAAGATTGTGTTGCATGTTCAAAATTACCTAGCCACTATTCATGTTCTTTCACCATTTCTGTTCAGAATGGGAATCTCTGCCATGGTCCTGCTTTTGTGGGCATCAGGACGTCCCTGCCCAAAACTCCAAGCTCCTCACCCTGTCATTTTCTTTCTAGGTTTCCTTCACCTACTTCAGGGAGCAGAAAAGATGGTGTGACACCAAATATACCACCCACCACCACCTAAAGCTTATGTTCTCCTAAAGTGAAGATCACTCAGTCACGTCCGACTCTTTGTGACCCCATGGACTGTAGCCCGCCAGGCTCCTCTGTCCATGGAATTCTCCAGGGGTGGGGAGCTGTTCCCTTCTCCAGCAGATCTTCCCAACCCAGGGATTGAACCGGGGTCTCCTGCATTGCAGGTGGATTTTTTACCAGCTGAGCTACCACGGGAGCCCACCCATGTTCTCCCAAGCAGACCCCTTTTTCTCAGTCCCTCTGGCTCTCCTAATGAGGCACTTGAGGAATCATTCTCTAAAGCAGTCTAATCCATTCTGAAGACTTCTAGTTTGTTACCTCCTCTGGCCAAAGTGTTACACAGAACAAATTTTGTCTTAGGAAACTTTCCTAGCCTTAGATGACCGTTTCTACCTTTCTGTTTCTGTCTTTTTTTTCAAGAACTCTCAAAATGGTACTTCCTTTCATTCAATCCTGAATCCTAGAATACTTTCAAATCA